GCAGAACTCCATAGCGAGACTGTCTTAATGCTGTTTCTGACACTGGCTTTTGCCTAGGCCAAGGGAAGGGAGCAAAAACAGAGAACTGAGGCTGAATTGCAGGTTCACTGCGTTTCTTTGCCATGCCCTGAGAAGGAGGTTGCGGAAAGAAACCCATCGCTTGCTCCACCAGCAGCTTCTACCCTTAACCTTTCCAGCCCAATATTCCCAGTTTTCTCACGGGTTCCTCATGGATTCTATGAGCATTGGGGTGAGGGGAGGTTGAAGGGCAGGGTGATAAAGACTTGGCTCACCACTATCTGAGATAGTGCCTGCCCTTTGGTGAACTTATGGCTGTGATTAGGGATGTGATTAGGGAGAAACCTGCAAAGGAGAAAATGATTCTGATTTCTATTAATCTGACACCACAGCAGACCAATTCCAGTTCCACACCAGACCAGTTTTCCAGGTCACAAAGACTGCATGTGAAAATGAAGATCTGTACATTTTCCATAAGTTTTCCGGTTTGGGGGAAGATACACATGAACTCCCAATATCTAATGTACATTAGTTAATGTACATTTAGAACTCATTCACTGTTAATGCAGATTAGTTCTAGCACATTCTTTAAATACAGATTTTCTCTAGTGCACATTAATGCACATGCAAATTAACACAAGCAGAATGAGATTCTCCTGCAAAAAATCCAATTCCATCAGTGAGCAGATGATAGAATGAAAGATTTCTGACAATGGATTGAGCAAAGTTTGGGCCTTCCCAGCTGTGGAAGAGATATGGATGGGGAAGGGCTGGGAAAAGGGAATGGAGCTGATCCCGTCTTCCACACCATCCGTCAGGCCCGACAGGCCATTAGGGAGTTTTGAAGGATTTTAGAAACCTACAACAGCTAGGCACCGTACACAGGATAAGCAAGTCAGCCTCATCTGCCCTGCAGGCTTGTAATCTCAATTAGTTTTGAGAGGGAAAACGAGAATCAAAAAAAGAGCTGACCCAAGAAGTGGTGAAGGAAATGCTTCAGTTATAAAAGGCTGGAGAGAAATATTTTTTCATTTTAAGGCAATTATGGTTTCAAAGCAATAAAGATGAAGCTGTGTGGATATTTAGGCTGAGAGATTTCTGTCAGTGAAGTGCCACAGTAGGAAATGAATCGGTATGGAAGGCAAGCCGAAGCCAATAAGGCGTGCGTCAGGTGAACTTGCACACCTGTGAAAAAGCAAGACAGGTCCTTTGCCCTCCCCCTTTTCCAGTCACCCTGGAGCTTTTGCATGGATTGCATGGACCAGTCCTCTGACTGTGCCGTCCTGAAACACAACTTCACTCGCATGCACATCGAAGGCACTGTAAAATTGCTGGAGAGCGAACAGCTGGGGAATGCAGTTTGCAGCTGCAGAAGAGCAACAGCAGCCAAGGAAATTAGGTGCCAAGGCTATTCCAAGCGGACTAGCTAACGAGCTGGGGCTGCCTTGTGTCCAGACCAGCGTAAATAGACTGGAGATGCACACGCTGGCAGAGTGAGAGGTTTTTAGTTGAGCAAGTACCGGTAAGCAGGGTGAGGTATCAGCAGGAGAGGATGGTGACTCCTGTGTCAGTCCTCCTCCATGGCAGTGTTTGAGCTATCCATGGTGCTGATCTCCACCCCCTAATTAGGTTCACCACCATAGCATGCCCTGACAAGCTCCTACAAAGTTCAAAAGAAAAGCTGCAGTGGATGAGGAGTCCCCGCTGGCATGAGGCTCCCAGTCCCCCTGGGTGTCTGACAACAGGTCGGGCTATTAATCTTGTAGAATAGATTGTCGCCCTTCAGCAAACTTTGTCTCCATGAATGCCTCTAGGTCCTATGTGGCAGCCCTGGCCAAGTTAGCTGTCGCTGAAAATGGGGTACTAAAAGAGATTTTGTGTTTTGGAATTCAGGCCTCCTCTCTACTGTGTGCTCAAGTTTTTGACTTTTCTTTTAATCTCACCAGTTTGCCCTGGGATATGGGCAACCATGTCCAGCATGGGTGTCATTTTCTGACTGGGTAAGTCCCCCCATGGCAGACATTTTGTGAGAGCACATGATGTGGTCTCTCAAAATCCCAAATGGGCCCATAAAGCTTGAGGACCTCTGGCCCATATGACCATCACAGGTATCTTTCCAGGGAATCCACAACCCTTTTGCAACGTTAGAAACAAAGAAAGCTCCAGCCACTAAGCAGCTATTGTGTGGTATAGACAAGTAACAAATAAATGAACTGTGTTTCCAATGGAGGCTGAGTTGGAGCACTGGTCTGATCGAGTGCTGTCAACACAGACTGGCCATGGCTCTTCAGGCTTCCAGGCAGTTTTTTCAGTCCTCCTGGGAGATGCGCAGCACTGACTTTGAGACGTCTTGCATGCCAAGCATGTGTTCAGCACCAAGCTATGGTCCCTCCCCCAACACATCTTACGTGGAAGCATTGCAAGGGGACATCCTCAGCCAGCCACCGCTTGTGTAATTCATCCTGTAACATGCAAAGCCTGCTTTTAAGTCAGGTCTGCAGAAGGGGCCATGTCGCAGCGAGGGGAACTTTTCTTTTACTGAGCCATGTAGCCAGCTCAGGAGACATAGAGGACACCGTAATGACAGCTGTGGAGGAAAGGGCCTCCCCTCCCTGCTCACTGAAGTAGAGTCCCCTTCCTCTAATCAAGCCAGAAAATGTAAGCAGGAGGTCTAGTTTGGCCCTTGGGTAGGCATTTTCTAATTGGAATTGCTTAATGTTGGCTTTCTCAATGCCTTGCCCAGCTCTTGCTACATTTTTCTGAGACAGGCTGGCCTAAATGCTACATTGGTTTGCTGACCCAAGTTCCTTATTCTGCAAAGAGATAAATCAAATGGCTTTCAGTGGCACAAACTTTTGCCTCCAAGCAGAGAGCAGGGCTTGTCTTGTTGCGGGGGAGCAGCTGACCTGAACCTTAGGTCATGCCCTATAATACTTCCAAGCCAAAGTAATAGAAAGACAGAGGAGGCATTGTTCACCGGCGGTAATCATTACAAGCTCGCCTGTGGACTGACCTCTGTTTGTTAGAGAAGGAGATGTATGGGACCAAGGCTTGCCCGGTCTAATGGGGCCTTGAACTCAGACTGTAATCTTCAGCAGCACAAGGAAGTTAGGCCAACGGCATATTTGGTCTCCCACTCTGCTTCGGAGAGGGGTGGCGAGAGTCTGCCAGTATGTTGCCTGCTCAGGCATGGCTAGTCCTTCCTTTAGAAAGAAGAGGAACTTGGCTCAGGCAGTAAATGTCATAAGCCAGTCCCTCCCCTCCAGTTCCAAATTTTATTTATTTTTATTTTATTTGGAAAATTTCTATGCCGCCCCATTCGCCGAAGCCTCGGGGTGGCTTACAAATAAATCAATTAAAATACTATAAATTAACAATATAAAACAAGTTAACAGTATAAAATAAGTCGCCCTGGCCAACGAATAAAATAAAAACGCAGTTCTTTTCATGAAACTGTACAGTTAATGTAAACTCTAAATACCCTTCCACGAAAGCTGGAAGGAGAGGCCTCTACACCTGGAAGGAGCTGAACCCAAACTGGTCCCAGGTCTTTCCCTTTCAGGAAAGACCAAGGCTGTCTCAGCCCTTGGGGGGCTCTTGTCCCTGAAAGGCTAGATGTTGAGGGCCATGGAGCCCCTCCAGCTGAGAGGCTCACCTCCCCCGACACCTCCTTTGGGATCAAGGACTGGCTTCTGGATCTGCTCCCCCTCCCCTCCTGAAAACTCTCGTGCTCAGTGGGAGAAACTGCACTAGGCGCCCCTGGAGGAGCGCCGAAGCTGCAGCCCCCACTTGCTCCTGCCCTTCCAGTCATCCTTCTCCTCCACTGCGGCACCTGACAGGGACGTCTGCTGCACAGCTTGCTGTGAGCAAGAGACTGACCCACCCTCCACAGCAGATGCTCCATGGTTTGGAGGGCGCTGACACGGCGCCCGCACGGTCATTCCAGTCTAGTTTGCTCTGCAGAGCTGCCATGCACCCCCTCCACTAGCAGGCTGCCCACAGGTGATGTGAAGGGTGCTGTCTTGCCCCCAGAGCTGAAGCAATGTAATTCAGCTAGCAGTGTAAGACAGTTTCATTTCACTTTGCAAATCACTTGGAAATGCCAAATGTACCAGCACATGCTACAGAAATATTTACAAATCCCTGAACTAGCAGTCATGTTCGACTACTGTGTATTTTTGAAAAATGCAATATTGGTTCTTCTGGACCTCTCAGAGTTTTCAGTACCATTGCCCATGTTATCCTTCTAGAGGGGATGGCTGGGCTGGGAGCTGGTTGCACTGCTTTGCAGTGGCTCTGCTGCTACCGGACTGGCCAACTCCAGAAGGTGGTGCTGGGGGATTATTGCTCTGAGCAATAGCAGTTAAGCCATATGGTACTTACTGCAGGGTTTTATTTTATCTCCCATGCTATTGAATATCCACGAAACCACGGGGGCAGGTTATCTGGAGGTACGGGCTCCAGCATGCATGTAAGTGCCAACAACATGCAGACAGCACTTAGTTCCTCCTCTTTTTCTCATCTAATCCAGGTGAGGCAGTGGCCATTCTGAGGGAGAGAAGGAGGAGAGCTACTATATTCTGATAGTGGATTCTGGAGATTCCATGAGTTTCAGCAGGTCACTATTTGGCCACTTGAGGGGCAGAAGTCTCTTGCACTCCTATCAAAAGAAAGAGTGGCAACACTGGTGTCTGGCTGATCTAAGACCGTCTCTGACTTTTCCAGGCCTGCCCTAGGAATGCTCTCTTTTGCAGCTTGTAGCTGGTGGAAACACCACTGGTGGTAAATCTGCAGGCCCAGGTATACTCAGGGCTACCAGAATGGTTGTTCTCCACCCCTGCCATTCCTCACAGATGAGACCATTTCACCCATTTCATCTAAAGGCATTTTAATTCGAATGCACCATATTGTTTTGACATCATCCCAATTTTTTAAAACCTATGTTATCTTTGCAAAAGCGTTTGCTCCTTGTTTTCCTATAGGGTGTATGTAGATGGTCCCTTCGGGAGCCCCTTTGAAGAATCCTTCAACTATGAAATCAGTCTCTGTGTGGCCGGAGGCATCGGCGTGACTCCGTTTGCATCCATCCTCAACACCTTGCTGTAAGTAACCGTCAGCACGGCCAAGCTTTCCTGCCCCACCACTGCCTGGGGATTTACTGATGTCCTTGTACCAAAGTGTCCCTGCTGGAATGTGATTGGTTCTAGAAATGCAATGCCGTACTTTTATAAAACGCAGCTTTTGGAGGAGTACTTTAGCTCAGGGCAGCAGGTTCCTGGTTCAGGGCCTATAATCCCTAGTTAAAAGGACCCAATTGCAGAAAGTTCTTAAAGAGATGGGAGTACAAGACCATCTTATTTGTCTCTTGAGAAACCTCTATGTGGGCCAAGAAGCAACAGTGAGAACTGGACATGAAACTACTGATTAGTTCAAAATTTTGAAAGCAGTATGGCAAGGCTGCATATTGTTACTCTGCCTATTTAACTTATACGCAGAGTACATCATGCAAAAGGCTGTGCTAGATGAATCACAAATACGAATTAAGATTGCCAGAAGAAATATCAACAACCTCAGATATGCAGACAATACCACTCTAATGGCAGAAAGTGAAGAGGAACTAAACAGCCTCTTGATGAGGATAAAAGAGGAGAGTGCAAAAGTTGCCTTGAAACTCAATATTAAGAAAACTAAGATCATGGCATCCAGTTCTATCACTTCCTGGCAAATAGATGGGGAAGAAATGGAGGTAATGACAGATTTTATTTTCCTGAGCAACAAGATCACCGCAGATGGTGACCGCTAATGTATGGCTGGAAGAGTTGGACCGTACGGAAAAATGAGCATCAAAAAATTGATGCCTTTGAATTGTGGTGCTGGAGAAGACTCCTGCGAGTCCCTTGGACTGTAAAGAAATCAAAACAGATATCTTAAAGGAAATCCATCCTGACTGTTCTTTAGAAAGTCAGATAGTGATGATGAAACTCAATACTCTGCCAGCTATTGAGAAGGAAGGACTCATTGGAGAAGAGCCTAATGCCGGGAACGATTGAAGGCAAAAAGAGAAGGGGACGGCAGGGGTTGAGGTGGTTAGGTGGGATCACTGGGGTGCTTGCTGTGGGCTTGGGTGGACTCTGAAGGATGGTGGAGGATGGGAGAGCCTGGAGGAATGTTGTCCATGGGGTTGTGAAGGGTTGGACACAACTTAGCAACTAAACAAAAAACAGGTTAACATGGACCTCTGCAATAAAGAACAGCCCTTTGTTCCAAGTGGTTTAGAGTCTAAACGTCAACAGGCCACATGAGGGAAATAAAAGGAAAGAAGTGGAGGCAAGGGGAGAAGAGGGTGGACATGTGGGAACTGCCCAGAGAGCTTTGGCCATTGATCGGTATGGGCATTTAACAGCAACAACCATGCAGAGATGCAGTTGGATATCCGTGGGCTCTCTTTCGCCTGAAAGCAGAGCGCCAGGCCTGTTTGCCCAGCTCTGCCATGGGTATCTGCACAGCTCCACCCTTATTTCATGTTTCGTGTGGGGCTATCATGTGACAGGCCCCTGGGAAATGGAATGGGTGGATATGAACTGCGTTTGGCATTCTGGAAGGGACCTGTGCCCCTTGGCTTGTGGGCTGAGAGTGGAGGGGAGGAGGTGACAATGCCATCAGCATCTTTCTTGTCCTTCCTCTGTGATCTCATCTGCACCTCGTAGAACATGCTAGAGAGCTGCCTTCTTGGTACTTGCACTTGGACTTGTAAACAGGACTGGCCTGAGGCAAGAGATAAAATAGCCCCTCTTCCTTTCCAGCAGTGGACCAGCAGTTGAATCTTTCTCCAACTCTGCCAATGGCAAAGCACCCTTCCCCTCATAAGATGGGGGGCTAGCTTTGAGGATACAGGGCAGGTTGTGCTTTCTTCTTCAGATCCTTGAGCCACCTTCCAGCACCTGCTGGCTGAGGCCCTGCCTCACTCTGGGTAATGATAGGGCCAGCCTTGCCTCTGCAGAAGACTGGCTTGCATAACGCTCCCATGCCTTCCCTTTCTTGGCAGCAAAATTGGCCTCCATGGGTTCCTTCCCCATGTCTAGATAAGACTTGCTTCTTTACACTGTAGGAAGCTTGATCATTTTTAGGATGTGGAGCATGGCAGCTCAGAATGATGAGAGTTGCAGTCCAGCATCTCTTGAGTGCACCATGTGAAGAGGACCCATTCTGGAATGATCCACAGTCTAGGATGCTTAAGCGTTATATAGAAGCATAGAAACAAAGTGAGTCAGAAGGGGCCTCCCGAGCCATCTAGTCTGACCCCCAGCTCCAGCTGGCTTTGCTCATGTAATCCCTAACATGTGGTTGTCCAATCTTTTGTAATCCCCAAAATGTGGTTGCCCAAACTTCACCTGGACAACAAAATTACCTGGGTATACTCCTGTGCCATAATCATCAGTATGAAACCTAGGACAGGTCACAAATGGACTAATCTTTGACCTTAGACAAAGGCAAGTTTTGCATATGAAATGCATTTTATTGGCTGAATGTTTCCTCCAGGAGGTTTCAGTCAACACAAGAATGAATTTCAGCTTTCAGCAAATACAGGTAATTTAAGATTTACTCTTTCTGGAGACTATTAATAGAAATAAAATCTGCATAACAGTGTTTTGCCTGTTGACCTTCACCTTCCAAAATCATGGATTGACCTTCAAACCTAAAACTAGCAATCCATTCTCACAATGGATTTTCATTCTGTTTCCTGAAGGGCTTAGCTTGCACTCTTGGTTTTGAAAAGAGATGGAAATGACCTTAGCTAACCTCTTTTTTTGCACTTTTGCTTGAGGTATAAAAGTAATGCAATTAAGGGACATTTTGCTACCTCAGGTACGATTTGGTATATCAAAAGGAAACTATTAAACACAGGAGGTTGAAATTTGAAGGTATTTTTTACTACCCTGACTTTAACAATGGTAGTCCTAGGTAGGCCTACTTGTTTTATGCAAAATAAAAAATAAAAAATGTGTATAAAAATCAAAAGAAAAAATATACAACAGAATGGGAGCTGGGGGGAACCAGTGACCCTCAACTTGTGAGGGCAACATAATCAAATTGTTTTGTTTTTTCACTTCTTCCTCCCCATCCACCCACCCCTCTGTGGCTTTGGTGTAAAGCGATGACTGGGAATGCTATAAACTCAGGAGACTTTACCTAATTTGGGTGTGCCGAGACATCCAGTCATTCTGCTGGTTCGCTGATCTGATCTGCAGATTGCATAACAAGGTAAGCGGGAGAGATGTTGTCTTGTGGAAGACTAATCAGCCCCCCCCCCTTTAAAAGCACGCTCATATTACATAGAAACATAGAATCAGAGCAAGTCAGAAGGGGCCTCCCGGGCCATCTAGTATGACCTCCGGCTCCAGCCGGCTCCGCTCATGACATGCCCACCATGTGGACGTCCAGCCTATCCTTGAACACCCGCACCGATGGGGCCTCAACGACCTCTCGTGGAAGCCCATTCCACACCCTCAGGGTCCTGACTGTCAGGAAATGCTTCCTGGCATCCAAATGGAACCTTGGCTCCCTGAGCTTTGCTCCGTTGGAGCACGTCCTGCCCTCCTCTGCAGGGGAGAACAGGTCTCTACCCACCTCTGTGTGACTCCCCCTCACATACCTGTCGCCAACAGATCCCCTCAGAGTCTCCTCTTCTCCAGGCTGAAGAGACCCAGTTCCCTCAGTCTCGCCCCATCCCCCATCCCCTGCAAACTGGCCACCAACCTTGTGGCCCTACGCTGCACTGACTCCAACCTGGCTACATCCTTCCTGTAATGAGGGGCCCAGAACTGAGCACAATACTCCAGTTGTGGGCACACCAGAGTCGTATGGAGTGGCAGTAATATCTCTCTCGAGCGAGAGGTATTACAAGGCCATCCATGTCTATTTAGAAGGAAGCTTCGCTTGGCTCAGTATAAAATGCGACTGACAATTGGAATGAAGCAAGAGGGAGGAATTTGAGCTCCTCTAACAAACTGACATGGATCTTGGAGATCTGCAGTTGTTCTGTGTGTGTTTGCACTGCCGTTTGCACATAGAAATGCACTTCTGTGCATACAAGACTTATAAAATGCACACAGATACACAGTTGGTTTAGCTAATATACTTCAGGAATCCCCTGGGAAGAAAGCAGTTGTTACACTGCCATTGTCCCATCATGACAGCATCCCATGGGGCAATTCCGAGGGAAGTGGAGCTGCCCATGTTATTCCTGTTGCAATAACTGCTGCCATAAACAATTTGTTAAGCGGAGGCTGCATTTACCCACAGGCAGAGGAACATCTCCTGTTATCAGATCATGGTTTTCAAAGGCTTTAAATATTACAGGCTGTGCCTGAAACATTCCAAGCACTTAAAGGTGCAATCCTATGCATGCTTAGGCAAGGAAAATGCCCCGCAACTCTCAACTGCACCCTACGTAATAGAGTCCTTGTTTGGACAGCCCACCCTGCATTTAGTGAAGAATATGCAAGTTCAGCCTGGGGCATAATTTTGGGCTGGTGATTACACTCCATTTCACACCCACTGGCCTGGATCTAATGCTGTCATTCTGCTACAGAAACAATGCTAACCATGGAAGCAGCAAAGGGAGCCCTGACAAAGGAATTCTGTCTATTGAAGTCCTTCCTCTGCAGCTCTCTTTGTTGTTGCTAGTTGTGAAGTTGTGTCCGACCCATAGCGACCCCATGGACAACATTCCTCCAGGCCTTCCTGTCCTCCACCATCCCCCGGAGTACACTTAAGCTCACACCAACTGCTTCAGTGACTCCATCCAGCCACCTCATTCTCTGCTGTCCCCTTCTTCTTTTGCCATCTATTGTTCCCAGCATTAGGCTCTTCTCCAGGGAGTCCTTCCTTCTCATTAGGTGGCCAAAGTATTTGAGTTTCATCTTCAGGATCTGGCCTTCTGAAGAGCAGTCAGGGTTGATCTCCTCTAGGACTGACCAGTTTAATCACCTTGCAGTCTAAGGGACTCTCTGGAGTCTCCTCCAGCACCACAATTCAAAGGCCTCAGTCCTTCGGCGCTCAGTCTTCCTTAAGGTCCAACTTTCACAGCCATGCATTGTAACTGGGAACACCCATGCCCTCAAAATCTGCTCAGGAGAACTGGCAAACTATCCGAAACAAATTTATTGTGAATAGCCAGAGAGGTACAGGGGGACGACACAGAAAGTCCCATCATGGCAATGGAATTCTGTTGATGGGACATTGGATTTTGCCCATCAGTGTTTTTTCCCCCTTCATATTTCAGTTGAATCAAAGGAAAAAAGAAACAGACAGGTAATGCCTATGTGCGCTGACACTGTCATTTTCTAATGTTGCTTGTTCACCCTTGTGGTAATTCATTAACAGAAAGAAAAGCAGGTAGTTCATGAACTGTACACCTGAGCACAGGAGTGCTGGACTCAGAGTACCTTGCTTCAAGTCCCAATCCACTCATCAAGTGCACTGGGTGATTCTGAGCCAGTCATTCCCTCTCAGCCAAATCTACTTGGCAAGGCTGTTGGGAGGATAAAATAGAGTAGAGAAAGAAAACGGGGAGCATTATATAAGCTGCTTTGACTTCCATGCAGGAGAAAAGGCAAAACAAATAACTGACTAAATAAATAAATAAATGCATATCTGCTTTTTAACATTAATTTACCACTACATTGACATTAAAAGGTTAAGGTTAGGATACTGCCTTTGGAACATTTGTGTGCTGCATTACATTAGCACATCTTGCATGGTAGGGATAGAAAAAGGCTTCATACAATCAATAACGACTCAGGAATTTCTGAATCACTTGCTATTCCTTCACCAACATTGATCTTCAAGTGGGAATGAAAATAGCATCCCACTTGTCTGGAGTTCCCAAGGAAAAATATCTTTCTTGCCTAGACATAGAAGCAACTTGACCCATCTACTCTTTTCCAGTCTTTATCTTCCAAATATCATATCCAGCTTATGGAAACCCTATACAAATACCCTCCAAGATGTAGTGTCCTTGACACCACAGCTCAGCTCTTGTAAACACACAACTGTGGCTTCATTATTGGAAGTGATCTATTTTATAGCTTGTCTTCCTCTTTTTCTTCAGCCTTCAACTTTCCCAACATAATTGTCTTCTCCAGTGAGTCCTGCTTTCTCAAAAAGTGTCCAATGTCCAGCAGCTTCCAGGGCAAGTTCTGGATCAATTTGATATAGGACCATTTTGTTCATCTTCCTTTCAGTGCAGGGTCTTCACAAAGAACAAGATCACCAGGTGATCTAACTAATTGTCCCAACCTGGATGCTAGCAGCAGACTGATTGCAGGTGTCTTGAACATTTCTGATACCTGTTAGATTCTCACCACCAGACTCTAAGACAGACAGCACACTATCAGTACTCAGTTTACAAACCGCTGGCCTGATAAAATGCATACTCCGTGTATTTAGTAAGTGCAGATCAATGAACGATTTTCCTTAGTAACCGTCTATCCCTTCTCTTCCTAAGAAGATGCACTATTTCTCCAAGCAAATTCTTGGGCAGTGCTGATTACATCTCCACCCACATACCTGTCTTTAATAAGCCACCTGTCTCAGTTGCAGCCACCACTGCATGCATAGGCTCAGATCCAGATCACAAGAAAGCTGCTGAATGGTGATGCTACTCCATCACTGAAGAATATTACTTCTAATTTCATTTAACCGGGAGCCTAATTTCTGGCCGGACCCCAAGATAGCCACTGAGCAAGTCTACTTGTGGTGATGTTGCAATCTCTTGTGACCCCGCGAAATTTGCTTGTTTCATGTCATTGTTCCATTTCTGCTAATCCCTTTTTGACTATTTATTTACCCATCTCATTGTATTCATTCATTCAATCCTGCTTATACAGAAGAATGTGTTTTACATATGCATATCCTGGAGGTAGGGTGGTAGAGTGGTTGGAGTGTCTGGTGGGGACTTGGGAGACTGGGGTTGCGGTTTCCACTTGCCCATGAAACTTACTGGCTAGCTTTGGGCCAGACATCAACTTTCAGCCTAACCTATTTGCAAGAAGAAGAAAAAAGCAGCAGCTTCATTATTATTTATTTAGAATAGCAATATTTACATTCACTCTGCATCTAAGCAGATTCCAGAGCAGTGACCCCCCCCAAAAGAATAAAACTCCCATATTAAAATAAAGAATAAATTAGTATATGAAGAATTTTTAAAAACAAAGTGCCAATAAAAAGTGGCTGCTAATTAAGAAAGACTTCATAACATAAAGATGTCTTCTTTGCTATGGTGAGTTTTGGTGTGCTCTTTGGCTTTCGTTTTTGGCTTGGTTGCTCAGTTCTAACCCTCTGACACTATTCCTGGCACCTGACTTCTAGCTCCAGTCTGACTGGTGCCTATGGTGCAGTCTTTCCAAAGACAAAGGGGGAGATGAATTGAAATGTAAGAAGTATAAGAAATATAAGAAGCCAAAGGGAAGGACTGGGCACCTCTACCCCACCTTTTCCCTATTGCAAATCAAATTCCTTGGCTTAGAAGATAGTCATCAGGGTTTTAGTACACATATTTGCATATAATATCTGGCACAGAGATATGAAGGTTTAATTGTTTTAATCTGTTGAGAGAGTTGTTGTTTTTTGCTTCAGACTTAGAATGTGCTAATTCATTCTCTCTCTCTCTCTCTTTCATGCTCCATTGGATCAGCTCTGGCAAGAAAACCGGCCAGACTTTGTAAATATCCAGCTATACCTCAGTCAAACGGATGGGATACAGGTATGTGATGAAATGCAGACTGTAGCTGCAGTCTACAGGAAATGACTGTGGCATAAACACAAGGGAAGGGAATTCTGACCTAGAGCTGTCTGTACAATGCAGCAGCTTTAAAACAGTGTTGATACTCTGCTTTCACAGGGGAGCCTGGAAAATGGATTTTCCAGCATTGCCCAGCTCCGTGAAAAATGTTGGAAACTCCATTCCACAGCCACTGCTGTGTAGCCATGGAATATCTAGGGGGTTTTGCAACTTTTCAGCATACTGCTAGCTCTGGGTCATTCTTTGTCGCTTTTGGACCACATAGCTTATTCCTTTATGGATATGGAATTCCAAATGTACCTGTCCTGGAAAGTTGCAGTGGCGCAACATGAGACCCATGCCCTGGCACTGCTGGGAATACAAGGCCAGGGTTTGTTTATTCTCACAGGGGCCCAGGCCAAATATCTGCAATGGCCCAACCAGATCATTGGAGCCTTGGCCAATGCCCAGGCATGCCGGAAGGTGGTGCCCCTACAGGGACCTTCCCTACCACCCCCCTGACAGTCTCAGGCACACCCAGGTGAATCCCTCTGTGCAGCAGATCAAGCTGCCCGTAAGACCTACCTGAGACTGACATGCAAGTGGCCAGTGATCACTCAGCCACAGTGTGCCAGCTGCACCAAAGGGAACGCCTTGCTTTCTTGCAGAAAATCATTGGAGAGAAGTACCAAGTACTGAACCGCCGGCTTTTCATTGGACGGCCTCGCTGGAAACTTCTATTTAATGAAATCGCCAAGTGTAACAGGCAGTAAGTAAGATGCCCAGCCCAGCTTGGGCAGCAGCTGGAGAAATGGGAACGGGGTGAATTTAATAAACTGCATTTGTATATAAATGACTTAGGGCTTAATGCTGTCATTTAATGCCAAACGCACCTGATGGTTGGGTGTTAACTGATAAGTTGCATCTGAGAAATGGGGCTTTAACCAAAGAACTGTCAGATTCCATAATCAGGACATTTCATCTTCCAGACAACTCAGCTGCTAGGGATGGGGTGGGCAGAGAGAAAGGTGGAGTATTGTAGGTTTTCCTAATAAGGATAGAAAAATGGTACCTTCTTCCATTCCTTCTTCTGCTTGCAATATCTGTTGGTTTTGTGCCAAGGGATGTTTCATCTATATGCATCATTCCTAAATGGTTGGAAAAAGGCAATGTAGGAAAGCTAGAAGAGTGAGCAAAACTTTCTGGGTGCAACCTTGTACACATCCCATAGAAATGTATTGGAGGGTGGCCAGCAGTTACTCCTGGCCACTGTCAGCTTCCATAATCCGACAGTGGTCATCCACTGGTTTTAAAGCAAGATTTTTGCAATATGAAACAACATTAAGGATTCTAGAGACATTGGCCGCAAGTGCACATATATTCATTATTGATAGATTTGTTTGACTTTTATCACTCCCCATTAGCCATTAAGCTCCTTGGGTGGGTTACAGGTAAAAGTATAAAGTGAAATAAAATAGCAATATATAATAAAACATCACTATAACAGTAATTAAAAACTAGTAGCCAAACAATTAAAACCAAACCAAAATGTTACACTTTACAGAAACCATGTTGACATAAAAGGCATAACCACAGTCTATAGTCAGATATAAAAAGTGAAACTATTATACAAACAGTTTAAATACCAGGAAAATAAAAAAAGTCTTTGCCTGGTGCCTAAAGGAATATAATGAGGGCACCAGGCAAATCTCTGTGGGGAGCTGATTTCCAAAGTCAGGGTGCCACTCCCAAGAAAGCCCTCCTTGTAGCCCCCCTCCTTATTTCCTGAGGAGGCAGATTCTTCAGAAGGGCCCCTGATGGGACTGGGTAGGTTCATATGGGAAGAGGAGCTCCTTTAAATAGCTGGTCCAAAGCCATTTAGGGCTTTAAATGGATGTCTTAAGACCTCGAATTGGACCTGGACTTCAACTGGGTCTCTTCAGCCTGTTGGCGACATACAGGTATGTGAGGGGATGTCACACGGAGATGGGTAGAGACCTGTTCCCCCCTGTAGAGGAAGGCAGGACACGCTCCAACGGAGCAAAGCTCAGGGAGCCAAGGCTCCATTTGGATGCCAGGAAGCACTTCCTGACAGTCAGGATCCCGAGGGTGTGGCATGGGCTTCCACGAGAGGTCGTTGAGTCCCCATCGGTGTGGATGCTTAAAGATAGCTGGACGTGCACATGGTGGGCATGTCGTGAGCGGAGCCGGCTGGAGCCGGGGGCCAGACTAGATGGCCTGGGAGACCCATTCTGACTCACTCTGTTTCTGTGTTTACTGAAGGTGGTAGGTGATGGTAGGTTCACCATCCTCTTCCCAGCAGAGGCCAAGCAGAAGTCTCTGAGAAGCACTCCCACAAGTAGGACATAAGAAGATGATAGCCATTTCTTGTTGTTGCCACCTGCCAACCAGTATTCAAGGCTATTCTTCCTCTGAACCATTTGGCTGATGGCCTCTGACAGCTTTAAACCCACAACTTTGGATTTACCAAACCTATACCTCCCAGGACTGAACAGAGAATCAAATTCAATTTGTCTTCTGAAAACCATACAATTCTCAGCTTGTGATACATTCCCCAAAGAAAGAATCATGCATTCCACAATGCATGCATGTTTTTAAAATGCTCAAAGAAAATGACGTACAACGGCAATATGAAACATAGAAACAGAGCGAGTCAGAAGGGGCCTCCCGGGCCATCTAGTCTGACCTCCGGCACCAGCCGGCTCCGCTCACGACATGCCCACCGTGTGCACATCCAGCCTATCCTTGAACCCATGCATGAACCCATGCATGCTTTCATCAGTGGTTTGTGCGTACATCTGAAATCTGCACAAAAAGGATATGCAGATTTCTGCACAGGAAAAAGGGAGGAAAAAAGGGTTGTTTGGACTTGAGATGGAACAATCTTTGTAATGCAGAACTGTGAATCTCAAGGACAGTGAGCTTGTCAGATCCACCCATTCCAGCTCTAGATCCATTAGAACACAAGGATTTTTATTTGTGTTAGCTTCCCTGCTGACACTGTTCAGGCAAGCAACAGTGGGGCCCTCAAAATACCTTTAAAAATCCAGCTAGTTGTCCAGTTCAAACAGCTGACTCATGGCTTTAGGTGAACCCATTGTCATGCACCTTTGCACATTCAAGGCAACAGACTTTCTCTTTGCAAAACAAGCTCTTTATTCACCAAAGATATCCTTTAAATGCAATTTCCACAGAATATATCTCTGAACATGCACAGAACAGTTTGTTGAATCAAGTCAAAACAAGTACTTCTGTAAGCCCTCCTTCTGAATATGTCTGGGCCTGATCCCTTCCAAAGGAGCTGTTTGGAAGTGAGTCTGCCTCCTTTCTAAATGCCTGTCCTTTATTTGGCTGGCCCTCCTTCCTGACACCATGGCTCCAGGTTCATACCAGGTTCCTCTGACTCCTTTCCCTTGACCCCACCGAACACCTTTGAATTTTGGGTATTCCCAAAGGCACACTTGGGCAGAGTGGCCTTGAGGTAAGCTTGAGGTAAGCTTCTTTCACCCCCAAAGTCTGGAGCCCCACCTTCCCAAGCTCCCGCCACCTTCCCTGCTTCATCCTCTGACTTGGAGTCCAGATCAGCTTGACCCATGAGTATTCACCAAGAAGAACTGCCACCCTCATTCCCATCCCCTGCCTTGTTGTGAAGTAGCTTTATGTATCTCCTGTGCCTTGGAAGTTGATGGAAACTAGTTGTCTCCTCTCCAAGTCACATGGTTTAACTCCCTTGTGAACAGATGAACAGGTATCTATTAGGCCAGAGCTAAAACAACCACCACCACCACCTGCCTGTTCTAGAGCAGTTAGATTCCAGAACTTCATGGAGTCTAACTTCATGGAGTCCATGGATTCTCCAAGGTCTGCAGATGTTAATGAACTTTTCCAAACAAAGCCCATTTCATCCCAGCTTTGCTCCTTTCACCCAGCTTCCCTTTCCTATTCTTTCACTTGATCTATGCCGAGCAGAAGTGTGCGATCTACTGGCAAGAAGGTCATGTGCACCTTCCATTCAAGGTGGTAATGGTGGTGGTAATCCCTCTTTGGCTTTGCATCCCATTGTCAAGTCTTTTTGCTGACTCTGTTAGAAAATTGAACACACTGGGGGTGAAGGAGAGCATTGTTTCCTGGGGGAAGGAATGACCAAGGCACCATCACCCAGAGGTCTGCCCTGCCAGCTAGGCATGCATGAGGATTTCATTTGACCTTGCAAAACATGCAAACCTGCCTTGCTTGAAGTTACAAGCATAGCTCTGCCAAAACTGTTAGCAAATTATTGAGCATGTGCTCATGCTTGTCTTATTCCTAGTCCCCAGTTCGATTTGCATGCATTGCCTAATATGCACAATTCTCCCAGGGAATCTTCTTTCCTAAGAACTATGCCAAGTACAGAGCCGTGCTCCTCTGCAGCAGCTGCATTGCATGGGCCAAGTTTCAAGGAACAAGCAGCTGCAGTGCTTGGGTGCCCACAGCAGCACTGGGATCTTGAGCCTCTTTCTGTCCAAAGGCTGACTTCCATTTTGGAGAAACTTTGCAGGAAATGGGCATTCCAGCAGTCTTTCTTTCTTTATTCGTGTCAGAAGCATCGCATTTAAATGTGGTGTGTTATAAAACATACTATATTGGGACATATAAAACAAGGAATTTAAAATTTAAAATGGAAAATGGAAGCATATACAAATTAGGCAGGTCCAGCCCAGAAGCTAGCAACATTCCAGTGATGAACATGACTGAAGGCAAAAGAGGCAGAGCTGAAAGCCACATACTTTAGCTTAAAACGTCTACTGTCATTGGAGGGGAGTTTCAGCCTTTGAAAATATGGAGGGGGAAGGGAGTGCAAGAAAGCCAGAACTCCACCAAACAAAAGCGGGCAGATCCGTAGCAATGAGGCATGGCCATATGAGGAATGTGGGAGGCCCATTAAGCCTCCAGTTCTGCAGTTCTGCCCCTCTGTTTCAAAACAAATCACTCAAGAAGTGGGGCCATCCCTCACTCTTAGATATAGGATTCTCCTGCCTTAGGATTGGCAAATTGGCCACGGGAGCAAATGCTGGCCCAGCCTTCTCACTTTTGCAGATTTAAACTATAAAAATGAGTGAATGGGACTTCTAGTTGTTTGATGAGTGGTTCATCCTGCCGTTCCCGGAAAAGTATGAGTCGTTCTGCTCTTCGCCCACTTTGCAACAGCCCTGTGCGGTAGGTTGGGTTGATAAATGTGGATTGGCTTGTGATCACCCTTTTCATTTCATGGATGAGTGGAGACTTGATTTTGGCCCCCTGATGCTGCATCTCCTCTTCTGCCTTGCTTCTCTAACAAGCCTCACAGTTTCACATTATCACCTGCCAAACGGTACAGACCAAACTTTTACTGAAGGTCACCAAAATGAGCAGCCCTGCCTGAGCCTGGCTTTCTATGTATTGCAGGTTCTGGTGCTGATTCAGAATGGGCCTGCCTTGGTTAGAACCAGAGGTGGTCCTGGGGGTGGGCCACTGGGCCTGGAATCCCAAAACTTTTATTTGGGACTCCACGTCTCTGGAAGGTCGTCTGCCCCACCACCCTGCGCTCCATGGGCACTTGCTGAAATAAAGGGCGTGGCTCTCTTTGCATCTCATTGTTTTTGTTCTTGCCTCTTCTCCCTTGTCCATATATTCTGTTTGCAAATACGAATGCCTTTAGGAGACAGCATCCTTCAAAGACACAGAAAGACTTTACAGCATTGCAATTACCCCATGCATATTTGTGCTCTTGCTTTCTCTCTCCCTTTCTTTTTGGTCCTGTGGATCTAAGCCTCAGATCTTCTCAGTACCAAGTACCACCTCTGCTTAGAGATAATTTACAAAATAGCTGGTGTCTGTCTGTGTTCTGAAAAAGTCTTTCAAAATGACAGTCAAGATTGGGTAGTGATGAGAACATCTGGCATCATAGACATCTGGGCCGTCACCCGTGAAACAGTGCTGACACATTGAAAGGTGTGTTAATTGTGACTTTCCCACAAGAGATTATGAGTGTGAGACCTGGTAGTGGGCCCTGTCAGTCCAGGATCATCACCAACCAACTACATTAATCACAGTCACCCAAAGGAACCTAGTAGCTTATAAAGATGGGCAGATGCCATCTAATTCCTGCATCATGCCTTTGGTTGAAAAGCGGTCTCTCTGGACCAGTTTTATGAAGTGTGCAGCCATCTAGTTCTTCATAAAAGCTGGAGTCTTTAAGCTGGTGAGGAAGGAGGGATGGGGGAAGTGTTGACTGACCTGGAATTCACTATCAGAATATGCAGTGATGTTCCGAAATGTTGATACTTTAAAAGGGGGTTAGGCAAACTTGTGTAGGGGAAGACAGTCATTGGCTACTTATTGTGTTTCTGCATCAGAGTCGTCTGAATACCACTTGTTAAGAATCAGTGGTCCTCTGGATCCACATAGGCTTCCCAGAGCCACCTGGTTGTCTAGTGTGAGAAACAGGATGTTGGCCTAGATAGGCGCCTCATCTTAACATCAGAACTCTTCTTCTGCCGCTCTTATAGTCATATACATCTCCTTTCCAATTCTATAAAGCAGTCTAAAGACCAGCAGTGGGATGTACCTCACTCCCACAGAGTTGAGAGCACCTAATTGGTTATCTGGCCCAGTGGTTCCTTTCCCGCCATATCTAATATCCCAGCAATCACTCTCTCAGAGAACCTGGGTCCTATCTTGTTAGGAAGAAAATGCCCACTTTTATATATTTAACAGGCATTCTGTTCTTAGACTTACCACTGAGCATAAGTTTTAAGCATAATAAATTGGCAGGATTATTGTTCCGAAAAACCTTTCCTGCAATGGCTTTAAAACACAAGCATACAAAACTAATAATCCCATTAATCATTTACAAGGTTACTAGCAGCATGCCGTATGGTCACAGCTGGACAAGTTTTGGCAGGAGGGCATGGGGATGGGGGGAGAGTGAATTCTTAGTCTTTGTTACCAAAACCCACATCCTGCCTAGACTACTTCTGTGTTTCCTTAGGGATGGGCAAATAAGCTATGCTGGGGATGATCTGTGTTCAGGCCAGTTGTCTCCTGCCTGATTCCTCTTTGCCTGTGTGACTTCTTCATGGCTTGTGTGAACAGGAAATTTAAGCAACTTGGGCATCAAACAAAGGGGAATCTTCCTAACTTCCCCCATTTGTGCAATTTCCCCCCATAGAGTCAAGTGGTTGAGTCCACTAAGAAAATTTGCACAAATCAAAGTAGGAATCTGGAATGAGAGGAACATGAGCTCATATTTGACAATTTGTGCATCGTTGTGGTCGTCATGTGTTCACTTCAGAGCTTTGAATTGAGCATGCTCACTCATTTTGCAGGCAAAAATGACACTCTCGGATATCCCTATATCTTACTTGCAGTAAATATACCACTGCTTGTCCAGCCAGCCTCCTGCCTTGACCATGTTATCTTTTTATTATTATTATTATTATTATTATTATTATTATTATTATTATTATTATTAGAACATTTCTATGCTGCCCCTTGCCGAAGCCTCGGGGCGGCTTACAACACAATAAATACAATACAATACAAAAATAACAATATAAAATTAAAATTAATAATATAAAATAAATTTTATATATATACACATGATCCTTATATGCCCAGCCGCCCCCTGAGATCGGCGGGAGAGGCCCTTCTCCGGGAGCCCTCCATGGAAGAAGTTAGGAGGGTGGTTACTCGGAGGAGGGCTTTCTCAGCGGTGGCGCCTAAGTTATGGAATGCGCTCCCCAGAGAGGTCCGCCTGGCGCCGTCGTTATTTGTTTTTCGGCGCCAGGCGAAGACCTTTTTATTTAAGCAGTATTTTAAATGTTAATATTATTGAATTTTATTTGGCCAGGGCGGCTTGTTTTATAGTGTATATTTGTATTTTATTGTATATATTTTAAAATGTTATTTTAAATTTTTTGTTGTAAGCCGCCCCGAGGCTTCGGCGAATGGGGCGGCATAAAAATGTTTTAATAAAATAAAATAAAATAATAAAATGATATAAAAATCTGGATAGTTAAAGATGCTGTACAAATAAGTTTCCATGGAGGTTGCAAGTGGAGCGTCTGCCTCACCCCCCTCTACCTTGGCGATCCCCAACCTGAGTTCCCTCCAGTTCATACCTTGTCAGCATGGGAAAAGCCAGGGAAGATGCTGTCCATTTTCACAGCGCTGAATGACATGTTCTTCATGATGATGCCAAGGGGATTCTTGAAAGTTGCTCTCAGTGACACAAAATAAGGAGCTTCCTAGGCCAGCTAAATATTGGTAAATTTTGGCCCATGAGGTTTGCTCATGAGGTTCTGGGTGAGGAAAGCAACTTCAGGCAGTGGCAGGAGCTGAGCAGGGAGATATCTGAAGGCAGCCCTTTGGGTGTCTGAACAGTCCAGCAAGACTTCCCAAAACAGTCTTCCGAACCTGGTACCTGCCAGATATGTTGGACCAAAGTTCCTATCGTCCTCAGTCAGGTATGTTGGGCCTAGCAAGATATGAGGAGAAGTCGCCACACGAGCTCTGCTTTAGGCAGCAAACTGTCTATTGTCTTATATATGTATTCTATTTATATCCACGTTTTGTCTGCAAGCAAGGAAAAAGCAATTTATATCATCCTTCTCACTTTCTCCATTTCCTTATCATAACAATGCTATGATGTAGGTTAGCCTGAGAGTCCGTGACTTGGGCCAAAGTCTAGTGAGCATCATCATCATCATCATCATCATCATCATTATTATTATAACATTGCCGAAACCTCATGGCTAAGTGGGAACTAGAATCTCAGTCCTTCAAGTCCCAGGCTGACGCTCTAATCACTATGCCACACTGCTTTCTTTCTCCACAGGAAGACTGTTGGTGTTTTTTGCTGTGGGCCCAATGAAATCTCCAAAGCCCTTCATAAGCTGAGCAACAGCAGCAATCCCTATGGGACCAGGTTTGAATACAATAAGGAATCCTTCAGCTAAAAGCCTCTGGGATGTTGAAAGGACTGTTTGGAAGACCACCTGTGTGCAATTAAAAAGACTTCAGCATCAGCTGCATTCGCTCAACAGCTTTTACCAAAGAATAGCAAAGTCTCTGTCTGTCTCTCCCCCACCCCTCTCTCCCTCCCTCCTTCCCTCTCTCTCCCTCTCTCTCTCATAATTTATAAATATTTAAAACTTTAGGAAGCAGAGAAATAAAGTGAAATGCACTCTAGCTGAATAGACAGAAAAGCCAAAATATCTTATGGGCCTCCTCTTTGTCTTTGCAGTGCGTGAATTAGCAGAAATGTATAGAGTTTGTTATATGCGTAAGTTTATGATCAATCCATGGAATGCTTGAATGATCTCCACCTAAGGGCATCAGACCCAGAAAATGGCATCACTGGCTGAATCGAGATTAGGTTGATTGATGGGAGTCAAAAGGGGAAAATACATTGGAAGTCAAGTGTTGCGCTTCCCCCCCACCAAAAAAATAAAATAAAATAAAGGAGGAAGCTTTGAAATGGAGAGGCTTTGAAGAAAACTGTTGCAAAATTAATACTAGTGGAGAAAGCTTTTGCTGTATCTTTGGGGGATTACCTTGCGCCATTTGTTTCTACATGCCCAAGCGGGGGGGGGGGGGGGGGGGAATGGGCTGTGCCCAGTGGTGTGCTGGTTAAGGTTGGTCTTACAAATGCTGAAGCCACTGTGTTGATCCATATCAACAAAGCAGTTCAAACCTTCTTCCAGGGATCAGGTCTTTCTTTAAAAATACAATGGATGGGTTTCAATTGCTCATTCAAGACCAAGTTGCGCCTAAGTACTTTATGTCACAACAGGAAACAGTATATTGGGAATTCATTTTGCCTCCATTACTGTGGGAAGATGGAAGCTAAAATGACAAACCTGAGGCTGTTCTACTATGGGTACTTCATGGGAAGACAAGAGTCATTGGAGAAGGTGGTCATACTAGGGAAAGTCCAGCGCCGAAGAAGGGGAAGATCAGCTATGGGCTGAATTGACTCCAAAAGGGTTTGCAAGAGCAGAGCAGGACAGCCAAGGACAGGGCATTTTTGAGGGTGTTCATTCATAAGGTCGCCCTGAATTGGGCACGATGGCATGTAACAATAGCAAACCATGAGCAGGGCGGTTAAATTCACAGGGAGCAGAGGATGCTGAGGAATTTATCAGATGGTGCCCAGCTAGTAGGGAGGTCATTCCTTGTTCAAACAACCCACCTCAAAATGCTTTCCATTACAACAGGGAATGGCTCCCAAGTGCACTGCCCCTGAGGAAATCCATTCCTCCCCAACTATCATGAGGATCATAGCTAAACACAGTGCATGGAGGGGCAGGTGCCGCAGCTCATTCCTGCCAGACAGAAAGTCATGGCCTTCCATCCCAATGCACCCTGGGCCTCCTACCCCACAGTCATACCCTCACCCAGAGTCAGGAGAGGCAAGTCTTCCATCGAATAGGGCCACCGTGTTATGGCCACACAACTCGAGGCTGTTGCAAGCATGTGCAGGAGGCAGCTGACGGCCACAATTCTGCCATGGCCAAACAACAGGAGCACATCTCAGTTACACATGGTGCAATCCATGGAAAATGTCCCTTGGCTTAGGCACTGCCTCTGATGGCAACCGCGGTCTCTGCACTAGCGGCGGCAGGTACAGGAGAAGTGCGCCAAGGGACCTGGACAGCCATATGGAAGCTGCAGGCAGTGAGTTTCCAACCTGCCCCTTGGCTAGCAGGGGATGCAATTGCAAAGGATGCTCCACTGCAGCTGGGGCACAGCCAAAAGTGAGCCCAAATGGAGCTCTGTTACATAAACCACCTTTTATCTTTTTAAATGTTATTTTGATGAAGAGTGGGGTAACCTCCCCAGGCCCCAGCTTCAGGTTTTCCAGGACAAAGGTTTGGCCCTGTCATCCAATCTCTTCTAATTCTTATCTGGCTGGATGGAAGCACAGGAGTTTAAATGACTTTTAAACAGCAACCTTTGGGGAGGGTTCTACACCCCTGAACCCTCCCTGTCACCATTAGCTCATTTTATTTTGCAGCATGGAGACAGAATTGCTGGAGATGTACAATGTGATATCATGATGAGAAGACCAGCTGAGCCAGTGAGGCAATAGGCAGGGAGCGCTCAGAACAAGAACAGTTAAAAAAGTCATAGAGTTCAGCAATGGGGAAAGGAAAGGAAAAAAAGCAAGTATAATCATATTCTCGTTCCCCTGCTGTCACAAAACTGCCCGTCTCAAGCCTTAAATCTACACCTTTTGCCTGGTGATTAGGATTATTCCTGCAGGGGAGAGAAGCTGCCGAAAGGTCTTAGAGCTTCAAGTAAATAATGTCATAACAAATTCATCAAATGGCCAAGGGAGACACAAAAGAACTCAGAGACATCAGACACGTAGGGGAAGATGTTAAATATTTACGGATCTATTGAAGTTGAAACAGAAGGACGGGGTTTCTCCTGATTTAGCAAGTGTACTTCTGTCAGAAATGCAAAGGTTAGAGAGCCAGTATGGTGTGGCGGAGAGAGTGTTGGACTGGGGCCTGGGAAATCTGGCTTCTAGTCCCCGCTTGGCCATGAAGCCTGCTAGGTGACTTTGGCCAGGCACCGACACTCAGCCTAACCTACCTCGCAGGGTTGTTGTGAGGATAAAGTGGAGAGGAAGAGAGGGTTATATCAACCATGTTGGATATCTGATTCAGAAAAGGGGCTATAAATACAGTGGAAGAAGGATGCTCTTTGAACATGGTAGTCAATGATTTGGGTGGAGAGTTCCTGGCTTGAGTAGTTTCAGCCCGGACAGTTCTGTTCTGCACCTGTCCCTTGTTCTGCCCTGCTTTCCCCTGGCCCTGCAGTTCCTAAAGGACAAGGAACAGGCCTTTAAAAAACAAACGCCATTTTGATCCTGCTTCTCAGGAAAAGAAAAAGGTTCCCAGAGCAGTTGACATACAATCCATAAAAAGAAGCCTGCCTCTGCCCAACATCTAAAAGACATGACAGGAATGGAAATGAGGAAGGAAGAGAAGTGAATAAAGATTGAGGATGTTCAAGAGCTGGTGGAATTGCCCTGTGTCCCATCTTGTTTCCTTGTCTCTGCTGCCACCTGCTGGAGTGGTTATTGGTGGCAACAGTTGAGCAAGGAGCCTGGTGGAGGGGCAAAAAAGGGGAGGGACATTCTGCTCCTGCCTCCTCATTTTCCTCTGCTTCCCTCCCTTCTCAGAGTGGCAAACCCTGAAAGGGAGGAATTTCACCTTGACTGCTTCTGCAGGCCTCACACTATCATTTTCCTCAGAGGAGGTGGAGGAAGTTGGACAGCCAGCCCAGTCGCTTCCCAAGCCAGCTGTGGGGAATTCCATCTGGACAGGCCAGGCTCCACACCCAGCTTGGCCTGGCTTCAGCCCTGAGTTTGGCACTGAAAGGACTTTGGCTGCCATGATGGTTGGCCTCTGTTGGGAGAAAGATGGGTGGTGGTGGTCCTGTTGACCTTTGCGTGGCTTTTGGTGCCATGTGTTATGGCATCAGGACTGCAGGTGGTGCAGTGGTTTAAACCGCTGTGCTGCTGGGCTGGTAGATCGAAAGGTCGCAGGTTCGAATCCACACGATGGGGTGAGTTCCCGTTACTCCATCCCAGCTCCTGCCAACCTTGCAGTTCGAAAGCATGCAAATGCAAGTAGATAAAAAGGTACCACTTCGGTGGGCAGGTAACAGCGTTCCGTGCACTTCGGTGTTTAGTCATGCCGGCCACATGACCACGGAGACTGTCTGCGAACAAATGCTGGCTCCCTCGGCTAGGAAACGGAGATGAGCAGCGCCCCCTAGAGTCAGGCATGCCTGGACTTAACGTCAAGGGGAAACCTTCACCTTTACCTTTATTATGGCTTCAGGCCAGACTGGTGTAGTGGGTTGGGTATAGGGGCCGTGGTCATACCACAGTTCCTCTCTTACCAGCAACACCACTGGGGGATTTCTGCTTCAGCCCCTGCCAGTTGTGCTTCCAGATCTCCATCTTATCTCCATGCTCACTAACCTTCAGCTGCCGGCTGAAGGCACCAGGCGACTTTTGCTGATATGATGGCAATACGCCACGGATGCATTTCTCCATGCCAGGTGAGGCTGTGAGCCAGTGACCCCATAGGGGCACATCATGACGGGGGCCAAACCTAGGGTTGCCAATGGACATGGCATCACTTACATGGACACATAGCACAGTGTGTCTAATTCTGACAGCATCGAGCATTTAGAAACATAGAAATAGCGTGAGTCAGAAGGGGTCTCCCAGGCCATCTAGTCTGACCCCCGACTCCAGCCGACTCCGCTCACGACATGCCCACCATTTGCTTGAAGCTTCAGTGTATCAGACAAGTGTTTGTGCAAAGCCAAGTCCACTTGCTAGTATTCCAAATAGAGAGAAACAAGCAGACAAAGAGGAAACCCACACATTGCATGCCTCTCCGTAACTGAAAGTAGCCCACAAAATAACAAGTGTCAACACATGGACATTCTCTTGTTGCAGCTTTCAGCTCGTTTGAGCCCTGGAGGCCCAGGACCCCCCCCCCCCCGCGTTGCACCTTCTCAGCTTGCTGGGTCACAGATGGTGACGGCCAGGTCTGGGGGGTTACATGATCTGTGAAAGGAGGGGTCCAGGGACCTACCCAGAGAGTCCATAAAATCACCAACTAACCAAGAAAGCACCCATCTATGAGGAAGGATGATTTCTTCACATGAATGGGGGTCAGCTGGATGGACACTGGTTTTTCTAGCTGTGCACACTGCATGGCAACTTGAACTGTCTGCCAAAAATCCCCCAGAGTATAAAAATTCTAAACATTTCCATGCATTTATTTGTGCTGCAGGATTTATCTTAATCAAAAATGTGGCATTTGACATGTACAGCTAGGAAGACAGGAAGTGAAGAAAGATAACAAATGAATATTAAAGTTTCAGCTCCAAGATAGTTTCTGCATTTGATATCCAAATAAATGTA